GCAATGTAAGAGCAGATCTGTTTTATCTTAATACTCATGTTACATCATGCTATATACTTCCTTTAGTTCAGTGGTTCTCAACAGGAGACGATTTTACCCCTGGGGCACATTGGCAATATCTGGGCAACACTGTTGGTTGCCATACCCGGGGTTGTGGTGCCACTGGTATCTGGTGGGTAAAGCTAGGGATGCTGCTTAACCTCCTAAAATACAGAGGACATACTCCCCTGCAGCAAAGAATTATTTGGTCCAAAACAGCAATAGTTCCAAGGTAGAGAAATCTTGGATTAGTTGTATAGATGGACAGCCATACTTCTGACTTTAATTCTTAGAAAACTGGATGAAATATTTGAGATGCATACATGAAATGCAACAGAATTAAAAATAATTTTTGCCTTGATTATTTGGCGGGGCATTGTGGAAGAGATAGGATTTGAGCTTGGTTTTGAAAAATGAGTTTTTTCAAAACTCATTTTTGGTTTTTTAGTTTTTCTTGGTTAAGAAAAATGAGCACTATAGATCTTTGTGGATTGAACAGACTGTCAGAGCTAGAGATTCTTAGGCAAGCTTAATACAGTGGGTTTTTAAAAAAATTTTTTTAAAGGGAAAGACTTTTAAAAATTAGATCTTACTCAGAACCCAAATACATAAAACCTATAAAAATCGAGCAGCTCTGATTGATGTGATTATAGGGACTGAAGCTTACCTTCTACCTTTTCTTCCATATCTTCTCCCCGGATCCTCAGGTATCTGTTGTTTGAACACTATTAATAATAGCACTTTCTTTCTTTTCAAAAGAATCCTGGTTTGGATGATAAATTATATGGTCACCCAACCTATGAAGAAATCTAGTGTTCTAAGGAACAAGTTATGAAAATTATTGAGTCTGATTTTTTCTCTATCCCTTTTGAAAATGAGGAACGTAAATTCTTTCCTAAATATTAGGATTTCATTCAAATGCTTCTAGCAACTTACATAACTATAATATAGATATCAAAACCTGGAAATTAAACATTGGTACAATACTATTAACTAAACTACAGACCTTATTTAAATTTCATCAGTTTTTTGTTTTGTTTTTCCTAATGTCCTCTGTCTGCTCCAGGATCCCATATTACATTTAATTATTCTGTCTCTTTATTCTGTTTCACAGTCTTTCCTTTATTTTCATGACCTTGGTGATTTTGAAGAATACTGGTCGGTTATTTTGTAGAATGTTCTCACTGTGAGTTTGCCTGATGCGTTCTCATGATTAGATTGAATTGAATTCGATTTTGGGGGGGCACAGATACTGCAGAAATGATGTGTCCTTTCACTACCTCATATTGCAGGCTCACGATGCCTGTATGTCTTATTACCAGTGATGTTAACCTTGATCACTTGTCTAAGATGGGGTATGCTATATTGCTCCTTTGTAAAGTTAGTATTTTTCCCTTTATAATTGATAAATATCTTGGAAGAGGTACTTTGATGCTCAACCCATATTTTTTGAAGTCATGGTTTCTGAGTGGAATTTAATATAGCCTTTGGCATCTAGGGAACTTTTATTATTTTAAAATAGTGCATATCACAGGTTTTTACAAAAGTGCTTTCTGGAGTCTATCATGCATATTAAAGAAATGGTATTCAAAGTCTGAAACTGAAGGGAATAGGGCTAAGGAAGCTAAAATCGTTCTTGCTTGTAAGTGATAATATTTATATCTATAAATAGTATGCTTTAAAAATATTTTTGAGCAATGCACTTGGGTCTAATGAGGTTGGTATTTACCATCGTTATCATTATTATTATTTTCCCATTTTCAGATGTGTAAACTAAGGCTCAGGGAGATTAAATGATTTTTCCAAAGTCTAATCATCAGGAACAGATAGGGCAAGGGAGCATACTTTTCTCCCACTATATGCAGTGATGGAATGGACATGGTTAGATTACAGTGAGTTCCATATCACTGGATATGTCCATGTAGAGGGGTGTGGCTTCTTGGAGAGGATGAGTGTAGGCAAATTAAACAGTAGATGAGTGGCTGGAATCTATAAACCTAAGGTCACTTCTGACCTTGATTATTCCATGTTATTAATTTATTCTTCCGATTTTGCTTTTCTCTCCTGGAAACTTAAGAAAGAACACTTCTTTCTGACTTTTTTTTTTTTTTAAGATACTGATGATGTATTTTCTTTCCTTATTTTTTATAAATTTTATTTATTTATTTATTTATTTTTGGCTGCATTGGGTCTTTTGTTGCTGCGCGCGGGCTTTCTCTAGTTGCAGCAAGCAGGGACCACCCTGCATTGCGGTGTGTGGGCTTCTTATTGTGGTGGCTTATCTTGTTGTGGAACACAGGCTTTAGGCATGCAGGCTTCAGTAGTTGTGGCATGCAGGCTCAGTAGTTGTAGCTCGCAGGCTCTAGAGCACAGGCTCAGTAGTTTTGGCGCATGGGCTTAGTTGCTCTGCGGCATGTAGGATCTTCTCGGACCAGGGCTCAAACCCGTGTCCCCTGCATTGGCAAGTGGATTCTTAACCACTGCACCACTAGGGAAGTTCCCTTTCTGGCTTTCTTATCCAATCAACTAAAGAGCTGGTGGAGTTTGCTGTAAGGGATGATGTCCTCCTTTCCAGAATCTCCAGGCTACATGACTATAGTTTGTTTCATTCAATGATGCTAATATTTAGATCCATTCTAAGGTCTCAAAGAGGATGCTAGGACTGGGAACTAGTAATAAGAGGTAACTTCTGTCTGTCTTTGTCACTATAGGCTCATGGAAAACAAGCAAAATCCTACCTGTCTGTTGGATTCTTTAGTCAGTGATATTTAGAAGTGAGTCTGTTTTTTAACAGACTGTTTGACATTATCTAATTCGGTAAATATTACTTGAACTAAAGTAGAGGGACAAGTACCTTAGTTTATTTTGAAAACCCACAGATACTGAGGCACTCTAGCAAACTCTATGTTGCTTATCATAAAGTCACTATTTTTTTAACTTCTGATATTATCCCAAAACCATAGATTTAAATGCATCTTTTCAAAAGAGCAAACTGAGGCTCGAAAAGCAGAAGAGAATTTACAATGTCACAGAGCAAGTAAATCAGCAGTTTTATTTGCATGGCTTTTCTTTCTTTTTTTTCCTTATAGGTTAGGTCAAATAGTAGTGATGGACATATTCTAAATTTTAGATTCTTTTTCTTACCAACAGGGAAACTAAGCCTCCAATGGAGAAGTGGTTGCCCAAGGGCAATTTGGTATAAAATTAAGAATCCAGGATAAAACCTATATTGAAAATGGGATTATGGGGAAAGACTACAGCCTTCTCATTCTTCATTGAATCGTCATTCTGTATTAGTCCCTCAAAGCCAAGATTGGCCTCCCCATGGAGAAAAGGAAAAACAATGGTGTCTTTATTGAACATGCTTAATAATTTAGATTGATATTGGAATATACTCTAAAAGTTTTAATTTAGACTTGTAAGCCAGTTGCCTAGGAAACATATTTGGATCTTACTGTGAGTAGGCCCTTATTCCTCATGTTCCTTTTTACCATGGTGCAGAAGGTGGAGTAATTCTGGACAAATCATTTACCTTCTATTAGTCTTGATTTCCAACACGGGAATGATGATACCTTCTTTTACTTACCTGATAGGCTTATACTGGAATGAAATAATGGATATAAAAGAGCTTATTGGAAATACAAAGATATGAGCTTTCCTAATTCATTTCCTTCTTTATATCTCTGTTTGCAGTGCTCCCTGAATTACCCTCCTCTTAACCCAATTCAACTTGATTTGACCAAAAGAAGGAATTTTTTTTCACTCATTTAACTTAAAGTTCAGGATAGGCTGATCCAGTAACCCAAATGGCTTTGTGAAGAATTACTCTCTCTCCATGTCTTAGTTCTTTCACTTTTGTTGGTTTCAGTCTGTCAGGTTCTCACTGTGTGGACAAAATGACCATGAATACGTCCAGGCTTGGATGCTATCAGTTTCACAGCCACATTGGTCATGTGCCCAGACCTGACTCAATCTCCTCGACCAGAGGAATGGATTCCTCTGATTGGTTAGGACTGAGTCATGTGCTAAAGTCAGCTCGGCTTAAGCTATTTGGAATAAATGGAAGAATGTGGTTCTCCAAAGGAAAATCGAGGTGCTCTTATTGGAAGAAGAGTCTCAAATGGAGGAAAGGATGCTGGCTTGGAAAGAACAGCCGCTGACAGATAGGCCCTCTCTAACCTCATTTCACCCATTGAAACCCTATTAACCCTTAAAGGATTGTCTCAAGAGTTTTCCTTTTGAAGTCATTCCTAATCCTCTAACCACATACGATTTCTCCCTCTTTTGTGTTTCTTTAGCATCATGTGCCTCTTTTTGCTGTTTATTTTCGTGGACTTTGTACGATCATCACAAGTTCATTTTTTATGTTATTATAGTGTCACTTCTGTGAGGGCAGAGACTATATCTCCCTTGTCTTTGAATCTTCAGCAGTACCCGACTGGTGTCTGATCCATAATAGACTATCAGCAAATATTTGTTAAACTGACTTCTTAATGTTGTACAAGTTATGAATAATGAAAAATAAGATGTGGCAGCTAATTTTATTATGTACATTATTAACGGATTAATTTATTAAAAGACTAACAGAAGCAATGTTAACAATTCTGAGATACGATTTCTGTTTAAGAAGTAAGAGTAGGGCTTCCCTGGTGGCGCAGTGGTTGAGAGTCCGCCTGCCGATGCAGGGGACACGGGTTCGTGCCACGGCCTGGGAAGATCTCACATGCCGCGGAGCGGCTGGGCCCGTGAGCCATGGCCGCTGAGCCTGCGCGTCCGGAGCCTGTGCTCCGCAACGGGAGAGGCCACAACAGCGAGAGGCCCGCGTATCGCAAAAAAAAAAAAAATTAGTAAGAATAACTGCAGCTCCAGGAGAGTGGTCAACCATTGTGAGCACTGGCTGGGGAGGGGGTGTCTCTGGACCTACTCTGCATTCACTAAACTCTGTGCCTTCTCCTCTTTAGTCATCCGGGTTCATGTCTAAGCTTGTTCCAGCTATCCAGAATGCCCACAGGGATTCCACTGGATCTGGAAGAGGAAAGTGATTGATTGAGACCTACACGGGTCTGATGTCATTCACTGGAAACTGCAACAAACTTGGCTATTCCCTTGCCCGGGGAGTGTTGGTTTTTGACACTCTTTTTGGGGGATAAGTACATCATCCATAGCTACATCATTACTGCAGATTCTGTTTCAGCCCACCGTATTTTTGGACTGAAACAATTAGTTATTGTTAAATAGTATTACATGATTTTGAAGATTCAGTATCTTAGGGGACCTAAAAGCTTGATTAGATTGATAAATGCACACTTCAGACCTTATATAAGGATAATCAAATTTCTTCAAACCAGAAAATAAACTCTCCTGAGCCCATCAAATAATGTTGGCAAATGAATGACAAATGAACACCTGATCATAAACTTGGGGAGGACCCTCTGGGTTCTTGTTTCTCTGTCCTCTAAATGTAGGCTTGTTCTGGGTCTTTATTTTCAGCCCTCTGATCCTGATCTTCTCTCTCACTGGGGTCTCAATCTCTATTATTTTAGCTACCTTTTTTTATGGGGATGACTTCCAAATCCATATTCTCATCCCTGGTGTTTAAGACTCAGTTTTGCACTTCTGTCTGCTGATCATCTGTATCAGTGTTCCAATGGCCACTTATACTCAGCATCTTCAAAATCTCGGATTTCTGTATGGGATTTTAATGGTCCCAGCCATCATCCCTGAAATCCATCAGTTTTGATGTCTTTAAACTTCTTGCCAGATACATTCCATATAGTATCTGTCTTTGTCTGGGCTGCTATAACAAAAATACTACACACTGGGTGGCTTATAAACAACAGAAATTTATTTCTTACAGTTCTGGAGGCTGCAATTCTGAGATGAGGGTGCCAGCCTGGTCAGGTGAGGGCCCTCTTCTGGGGCTCAGATTTCTTGTTATATCCTTACAGGTAAAGGGGCAAGATTGTTCTCTTGTGCTTCTTTTATAAGGGCATTCATCTCATTCATGAGGGCTCTGCCCTCATAAGCTAAGGCCCCCTGTTTAATACCATCACAATGGGCTTTAGGATTTAAACATATAAATTTGGGGGGGGGGCATAAACGTTCAGACCATAGAAGTACCACATCTGTGTGTGACTTAGATTGTGCCCAATGCCCAGATGTCAAACTTAAAGTTCATTCTCCTTTCAAAACTGTTCATATACTCCTTCTCCTTTCCATTCTCACAGGTATGTTATTAGATCATGTTTTAAATTCGGTTTACCTGGATATTTGTTATACACTTTTAATTGGTATCCCTGCTTCAAGGCTGACCCTCTTCTAATCCATTTTATACTTGGTTGCCAGACTCCTAAAGCACAATTTGATCATATCATTCCCTGTTCAAGAACTTTCAATGGCTCATTTCCTTTTGCAGGGTTTTTTTTTTGTTTGCTCATATGTCTTGTTTTTTTAACAGCAGACCTTTCCTTCTAATGAAATCTGTTTCAGTTGCCCAATATGTAAAACAGATAGAAGGAGGACCACTATGATTGAAACACTATGATTGAAAATGCCACTGATCTCCTCTTTTTTGGGTCTCAGAAGTGCCTCTGTGGAATGTCTATGGATCCCACAGGAGTTTAAGAAGAATGTTTCCAAAAATACTCTTCTAGCTCATTCTGTTTCTATTTTCTTTTCTCTCATATTTCCTCTTTGTCGCTCCTTGACTTAGGTCTAATTGTGAAGAACTCAGGAGGTCATCTCATCTGTTTTCATCTCTAAATTTTTTTTCAATTTTATTGTATTTTTAATTTATTTTGAAAAGAAACTTTTAATGTTGAGCGCTGTAAACATTATTATAATTAGCTCTTTGCCTGTCCAAAGAACCAAAGTTGAGACACCTTGGCTGGTATTCAAGTTAAAAATTCCAGCTGTTTTTTGGGGGGTGGGAAGGGGGGGGAAGGGGGTGCTTGTGTGAAGTCTAAAGTCTTTTCTTCAAAATGCTCACTTCCTCGATTTCAAAGATTTCCTCTGATATTTCACAAACATCAATTTGATGGAGGCATTCAAAACCCGAACTTTGAATAACCCTCATTTTATTTTGTTTTTATCTTTGTTTACTTCCATTAGTAGTTCTCTCCCTCTCTTTCCACTTCCCAGCACCCACTTTTTTTTCCCCTCCTGATGGCAAATATTGGTATAGTCCCCAAGGCAGGGAACTTCTCTTCAGACTGTAAAAGGAAATGTTGAAATCCTTAGCTGTCCTGTCAACAGTAGTGGAATGAAAAGTCGTTGGATTGTTTTGGCAGTGGTTCTGAAGCAGGCACAATTGGCAAATTATTATACCACCACTGCCCGAAAATCCCCATTTGCCTCAAGGTAGTGGCGTTCGTTGACAGAAGCCTCCGAAATGTCCAGCACATTCTCTTGAGTTACCATTTAAGGATCAGTCTGACAAGTGACTTCTTTCTGCATATTTATTCCCCTTGTAACCTAGGCTGGACTGTTCCCAAATGACCTTCGAAAGGACACAATGCAGCATCATCAGTGGGGCAAATCAGAAAAGATGAGAGGAGGGAAATATCTCTTAGCCCTGAGGTCAGTCTGTACCAATAGGGTACCAAGGTTGTTTAGTGTGGAGAAGAGTGATCTCAGAGATGACATAAGAATTGTCTTCACATTTCACACAGATTGTCCTGTGGGATATTCCAGACACTGATAAATGGGATCTAGAAGGCAGGATTATGACCAGAGGATGAGAGGATTCAGGGATTTGGATGGCAGTTTAAGACAAGAAAGAACTTCTTATAGTTAAAAATGTCCAAAGATGGGAAGCTTTGCTCCTTGAAAGAGTCTCCCATCACTTGATGTGTACTAGTAGGGACTAGATAAAGTGAATATTGTGAAAGGGATTGTTAAAGGGATGATTGAGAAAATCATTTAAAACCAGAGAATTTATGATTCTCCAAATAATTGTTGTCGACGATTAGGTAATACATCCTTTTTTTTGGAAAGAGTTGAATCAATCATGTGAGACCCTGGAAAATTACCTGAACTTTCCTAAGGTTTAATTTCCTCATCTGTAAAATGGAGACGATGCTATCTCTTTTGTCTACTTCATAAAGACCTTGTGATGATTCCATGAAATGAGGTTAAATTATTTTATTAAATAAAACTCATTGAGTATCTGCCTGTAGTGCAATGTCACTTTGGCAGCAGAAACTGGGACACCATCCGAGGGAACTAAATTCAGCTCTTCTGGGAGTTGTTTTTGGTCACCATGGACCTGCCGACCACCTCTTTCCCATTTGACACATGGTATTCTCACTTGGGTTCCTTGTCCATGAGCTTGACAAGTAACCACAACCCACAAACCAGGACACCTATATGTATACCTGGGCTTTTCCTTCAGGCTATCATCTGAACTATACCAATAACATCTCTCAAAGGGGCATCCTAGGTCTGACTGGGAATAAGATTTGATACAAGAGGCATTAAGTACAAAGCATATCATCATAAAAATGTCATGGTTGGCCATTTTCTCTATCTGATCTTTGTCTATTCAAGAAACCCTACTAGAAAGTCTCCAATAAATCTCTGTTCAGAAACTATTTGAACAATTCTACTGGCAGATTGCTCATAGTCTTCTGATACATCTTGGGCAGCTCTGATGGTTAGAAAGTTCTCCTGTTGATTTAGATTCTGGAACATCCATCTGCCATCTCTTTTATTTAAAAATAACATTCCCATGCTGGAGTAGGTTCAGCTTGTGTTTCAGTACCTGGATGTGGGGCATTGGGGTTACAGAACCAAGGTTGATGGATTCTCTAACACTTGACAGGAAGGGGAGCTGCCATGAATCACCACGCCTGGCCTCCCAGTGGGCAGTCGGGCCTTCTTGGAGGCTGACATTTGACCAGCCTCTAAGGCAGAAAAGAGAAGCCAATTTATGAGGATCTTTTGCCTTGCACCCCCTTCTCATTGTCCCTTTGCTGAAGCATTACTAAGGAAGCCCGATTCATAGAGCCCTGGGGCTAAGGAAGCAAAGAAACCATCTAATCTAATGCTTTCATTTCACAGAACACAGAGCAAAGGCCTGGAAACTGGAAAGAAATTTCTCAAAAAGCAGATGGCGAACTTTTGGCAGTATGGGGATTAAACTCTAAAGCTTCCAATCTCCAATTCCAGCTCCACTGCTCTTTCCGTATACCTCCATTCCCAGGAAAAGGCACGTCATCTAAACCAGCGTATCATAGTTTCTGTGTTCATTCTGACGTGAGAAAACAATAGGTCACCCTTGTTCAGGGGGAATTTCCAGAAATTACCTGTATTTTCTTAAAGGCTAAGGTCACTCATGGAGCTCTCTGATGTCCTATCTGATTTAAAAGCCCAAACAAAGCTGCGGAAGCCAGCAGATATTTTGTAAGGCAGCCTTACCTCTGCCTGGCATTTTGTGGGGCAAAAGAGGGGAGGGCAAAAGTATTAAATTCAGGCTTAAAAGCTCCTCAGAAATTCTTTACACACAGGAGACCAAGTTGGAGAAAAGAAGATGACTCCTGCCAAGGGGAAGAAAGAGAGAGATGAATGCCTGTGGTTTTCAAAGGTTAACAACAACAACAAAGCCCGAGTATTTGCACAGGGATGAATGTTCATTGGCTTTTGGCCAACAACTGTACGAGGGCTTATGCCCACATCCTGTAGCTGTGGTTTAGGGACGCTGCTCATGAGTGACTTCTTATGCTTAGTGGCAGGAAACTTTAGTCACTGATGTGTAAACTCACCTTTGGTCTGCACCTCCCACAATGTGCTCTGAAGGCAGTTCGGGGACCAGGCCTCCTGATTTTCTTACAGATACCAGTTCCTCAGAGTTTAAGGAAGAACTCAGTTTAAGGCCTTGGGAGAGACTGAGACTTGATCAGTACTTACCTTACTCCATTCAGTTGTAGCAACCCCTTAGGATAATTCTATAGCCACAGGGAGGAATTATGATATCCTCTGCGAAATCCTCCCTTTAACCTCAAAACCCAAGACAAAAAAACGCAAGCTCTGTTTCATTTCAGGGCTGCAGTATGAAATCTGAGAGGCGAAGTCAGGAGGTTGCTTCTGAGCCTAGATCTTGTATCTGATGAGCTATTTTACACTCAATTTTTAAAAGTTCGTAGTAAACTCAAAGTCTCCTTTTCAGTGAAGCTAAATGGAATTTGCAAGAAATCCCTCAAAAAGCAGATGGTGAGTTTTGGGCAATACTGGGATGAAACTCTAAAGCTTCCATTTTCCTGCTCCTAGGCACTGCTCTTTCCATATATCCCCATTCCCAGGGAAAGGCATATCATCTAAATCAGTGTTTCACAGTTGTCATCTAAATCGGTGTATCATAAGTTACTTTGAGGTGA